CCCAGAATAGCCGCGCGCTCCTCAGGGGAAAGAACACCACGAGGAGGGACGAAGCCCTGAGGGAGGTCCTCCTGAGGGACCTCGGGGGGCGATGCCACAGCGTGACCGGGGCGGCTGCGTGCCCGAGAGAGGGCAGAGAGCGCGAGCTGAAGGCGCTCAGCTGCAGGGAGGGTAGAGTCCTCCAAGTGATAGTGGACGGCCTCGCAGAGATTGAGGTCGTCGCTGTGGTCGCCCTCAGATGATAGTGGGGCAACAACGTCCTGCTCACTATACTCCAGCGCGCTGAAGCGGCGCGAGAAGTGGCGGCCCTGATGCGTGGAACGGCGGGGGCGACCAGGGAAAGGGGAACGGCGCTGGGAAGTGCCGTGAGAGGAGGAGGAGGCGTAGCCCGTGCGCTGGGGCAGGGAGTAGGAGGCAGGGTGAAGACGAGCTCGCATCCGCTCGTGATCCCTGGCGGCCTCGTAAGCCTGTGGGGCCGATGTGAACTCGTACCGCCATAGCTCGGAGCGATACTCGAGCGGAAGGCTGACCAAGAAACGATCGATAAGGGCAGCCTCGGGGAGGAACGCCACGTCGCAAACGAGGCGGGCGTCCTGAAAGACCTGGATGTGGCGATCCAGGCCGGCAACGCCACCAGAGCCGGACCAGCGTGTAGTGACGACACGCTCGAAGGCGTCTGTCACGTCGTATCGGGCTCCGAAGGGATCCTCGAGAAACGCCTGGAAATCCACGAAGGTCGGAGTCCGACCCTCACGAAGGGAGTAGGCATAGAAATCCTTCCAGGCCTCGAAAGGACCGCCACGCAGGCGCATTGAGAGGTGACCCACCCATGTCTCGGGTGTGGCGCCCATGAGCTGGAGTGTGCGGGTGGCCGACTGCAGCCACCGAGACACGCGTATGCCTGTACCGTCATACAAGGCAATGTCCGACAAGCGGATGAGTGGTGCGCCACCGTAGTGGCGGCGAGGGGATCGAGGAGCGAGGGTCTGTGCTATGGCTGAGTGAGTCGGCGCAGGTCCTAGAGAAAGGGGCGCATCTGACTGTGCGCCCAGGCCGCATGGGGGAGCGGCGGTGGCAACAGCGGCAGGCTGCGAGGGTGCTGCGGTAGAAGATGTCGCAGCAACCGCGGGAGTAGGAAGAAGGTAGGAAGGAGTCGTATAGGGTGCAGGGCGCGGAAAGCGAGCCTGCATGGGAGGAAGGGTAGAGGAGGTAGGGGGTGCGCCCGAAGGCGCGGCCACCTGTGAGGGTGGGGGTGGCTGAAGGCGTAAGAGGGCGAGGTTGGCCCGGAGATGGGCAATCTCGTCCTCGAGACCTCGAACGTAGATCGTGCGAAGGGTGGCATGGGGAAGAGTGGAGGAAGTGGATGCACAAGCGGCGCGGGGCATCCCAGAGGGGGGAGAGCTAGGTGGCGCTGCGGTCGTGCGAAGGGGGGGGAGGAGCGGGGCACCCGGAAACGCTGAGACCATGGTAACAAGTTGTGGTCCCGTGGCCGTCGTAACCGGAATCTGGGCCGGTGCGCCCGTAGACTGAGGAAGGGCCTGACTCGTGGCGGCCGTCGAGCTAGGGGCGTGGACGGTCACCAAAATGGCCGGGTCGGGGGCGGCAGAGGAGGAAACTCCGTCGTCGCCACCCTGTCGGAGAATTAGGGACCCGGACTGAGAGCTAGGAGAAGAGAGAGGATGAGGAGAGGAAGGACTACGAGCGTCCTGGAGTTGCTGCACGCCGGCGGCAAGGGTCACCACCTGCGCCTGTAAGGGCCCGAGGGTCGCGAGTTGCGCCTGGATGGGCGCAAGGAGGGAGGTGAGGAGGTTGTGTAGGTCCCCTTGGGGCTGATGGCCCTGGTCCGCCGGCACGGGTGTGGAGACCGATGCCGTGGTCATCGCCGTGTCGACGGCGT